CTTTTCTTGTTGTTTTTGAATATAATACATGTTTATTTATACCTCTTTTAATTGCAATAAATATTTTTTATAATCTTTACATATATTGTAAGTCTCAAGGCGTCCAAGTTAAGTTTTCTCGGGGTTTCTTTGTCTCTAATATTGTTTTTGTTTCTTATTCTTTTTTTTTTTTTTGCACTTAGAATTTAAGAATCGCACTGAAAGGTCATAGGTGAACGATCTTGCGTATTTGAACGTGTCGTATTTTACATTTGCTGTACGAATTAACAATGAAAGGGGTAGAAGAAATTATATAACAGTGTCCGATTCATTCGAATAGAAAAGCTACGGCTACAACTTGTCGGCTAATCCAAGGAAACAATTGCCAATAAATAGATAACTAGAAAAGGTCTAAGAGAATTGTATTTCTGTCTGTGTGTGTAGGTGTATGGGGTTACAGGGAAAACATATACGGGTGTCTGTGTGTGTAAGGCCTGACTAAAGCTCTTGGCCTAATCTATTGATTTATCTAATTCGCATTATCAAGCACATGCACAATCTGCTTGGAGACAAGCGCCGTGGCCTCTGCGGCATTTGGTATCAGAAACCGATCCATATCGGTAATGAGCAATCCATCGCCATCGGGAAAGCCGTATTTGAATGTGATCAAATCGCGATGTCGCTTCTTGGCGGTGATCTTCACAATGCTGGCGAGTGGACGACGCACCATAATCTGCGCCTGGCCACGTCCCAGTTCGCGCAGCACCACCAAATGTGTGGGCGTTATAATCAGATGGCTATCGTACATATAGCCATTGATGTGCACATCTTGGCATTTGAACGCATTTATAATGTCCGCCGTCTTGAAATATTGATTGAGATTGACAATCTCCTTGCTAACGCCAGCGGGTTGGGGCGCATCCTTTTCAGCTGAATCGTACGCATCCTCGTTCTCATCATCGATGCTGAAGACGGGCGCCACATTGCGATAGCGTTTGCCATTGCGCTCCTTGGCGCTAACATGACGCTCCTGCACGGCCTGCGCCTGGCCAGCACCATTGTTGGAGGCTCCACTTGCGCCCGCACCGGAGCCATTTGAACTGGGATTAACAATAATGTCCAGCAGACGGCCTTTAACCTCGGCCGATTTCGATTTCATGGCTGCGGAGAATTTACTAAATAGGTCTGTTGATGAGGGCGTCGATGCCTTGAGCGTCGTTGACTTGGACTGTAAATGGAAAACGAGTGTCTAGAGTTGGAGTTGAAGTTTACGGGCGACAGGGATTACCCTCACCTGCTTGACATTGTGCTGCTGGCACACGAGACACTTGCTGGCACTGTGATCCTCCAGGCAGTCGGCCATGTGATCCCCAAAGTAATCGTGTATGGAGGCATAGCCGCCCGTTAGCAAGGACACGTAGTGTGTGTTTTTTTGCAGGAATGAAGCCACCACCATGTGCGTATATTGATCCTCTTCCACACGGCCGCTCCCCATAAAGCACAAATGTTCCCCGCCCGCATTAGAATTGACTTCGATGGCCTGTTTCTGGGCGGTGAGCAGACCCTGGACGGCAGTGGCAAACGCCACCGGCTCCTGAAGCATCAGGTTGCAGTCCAGATGAAATGCCGTTGACAAATGGCCTGCATTGTACTGTTCGGCTGGACGGCAGTCCACGAGAAAGAAACGCACAGCATCCTGCACTGGGAACTCTGTGGCCGAATTCTCGACCAGCTCATAGACGGAGACGGGCAGGCACAATGCCTGGGATACCTTATTGGACTCCTCCTGACTGCGCGGCGTATCATTCTGTTTGCCATATAGAGCCTTCAGGTAGTCGGTCTTGAAGGACGTTGGGGTCTTGAGTGCATAGTATTGCGCGAGCGAGCAAAAATCTGATACATCGTCCACCTCCAAGGCGCACGGCATATTGACGAGAAACTTGACGATCTCCTCCTTGCTGGAGCCCTTCATGGCCATAATCTGTTCGCGTCCATTGATGAGAATAATCAAGGCCAGAAAGAAGACCATAAATGGATCTGCATTCTGGAAGTACAAATCCCACATAGCGATGATCACAGACAGACTGCTGCAGGACGCGAAGAGAGATTGAAACCACGTTAGGGAGTAGAGATCTGGTGTGATCTTCTTGGTGTCCAGCACAGTGCAAAGTTCCGGATCGTGATATAGTAACAGCAAACGAAATACATGGAAGACATTGCCCTTAGGCTTGCAGCCTTTGGGTATATAGGTATCCCGTATAGCCTCGAATAAATTGAAGGTATCCGAACGATTTAGTTTGAGGGCACACAGTGGCAGCAGCAGCTCGATCCAACCGTTATCAGGTTCATATTGCAAGTTGCGATTCTTGCAATAGAATGTCATTATCGACTCCAGATCGGAGACGACCGACACTTTGTCCTCCTCATCGTTGCCAATGCGGTCCACATATCGCTGACAATCCTCGCGCAATTGACTTTGAAAGGGTAAATCGTAGATCTCGTTGAAAAGCGACATCTGATCGTTCTTATTTCGCACATCCAGACACACTTGCCAAACATCCGGACGGAGAGCCTCTGGTAGGGGCTTGCCCTGGCAAATGCTATAAATATCATTAACATTGCAGTCGTCCAGCAGCGCTGACTCCAGCTCAATTATCCTGTAAGAGATAGAGAGGGAGATAAATATTATGAATGCATTCGATTTTATATGGCATCCTCAAAGAAATACAAAGAGAGAATGATATACATATATATTGCTAGAGCTTTTAGCCTTATACAAAAGAGAGCTTTTCAATGATCAGTCAGCTTTTTCCCACCCACTTGCAACTTGCTCTCTGTTTCTCTCTTTCTCTCTCGCAAAGGTGAAGTAATGCGTTTGTTTGCGCTTATAATTCAACGTGTCCAATTTGGCACAGCTGTTGCTGATAACATTAAAAAAAGCTGACTATCTCTTTGGCTGCTGACTCAAATAATGTGCTGGTGGTTTCTTCCCAAACGTTCGCTTACTCTGTCGCACGCACTTGCATGGGCATGCCAACAAGGCCACCGCTTAGTCCTCCTCACAAATTTCTCAAAAAAGCTAATTGACACTTTAAATTTGATTCTATTTAGAACTATTCATTGTGTTTATTTACCACATATTCTCGTCCATGGCCGTGGGCCCACATATACAATTGCACGGCTGGAAATTTTATCTTCGATTGCGTTGGCTTTCTATCAGCTATATCTATTGCACTCTTTCCAGTTGGGGCAATAGGCTTGAACGCATTTTAAATAGGTTTACAAATATTGAATTTCGTTAAGATTCGCCAAAAATTGCTCTACTGTGTATGAGTTAATGTTTTCTTATTGGAAGTCTTATTTTTTGTGGTGGCACTCCGATGACGGCCGATAAGTGTCTGAGCAACAGATCGGGAGAGATGCCAACCTCTGTTTAGTTTGCCCAGTGTCACCTCGTCGCTGTGAATGCTTAAACTGGTAGTCCGCTGGCAAAATTCAAGCATAACATTTAATTTCAAATAATTTGACAATTAATTCAATTGCTGCTTATCTGTATTAATAATAAATCATTTTGAACGCACAAAACCGTTTCTATTCAGGAAAATAATTGCTGAGCACTGGAGAGCTGTCATATCGTGTAATTTGAAGTAAGGTAAGTTTTTGGGGTAAGTGCACCCGAGCCCACGCACACAAACACACAGACACATGGAAAGACAAACGCTAAACACACTCACACAGAGACACGTACAGGCAAATACAATTTGCAAAAACAATAGCGCTTACGCTCTTTTTGCTTTTGCAACTAATGGCACATATGTTTTATATATGTATGTATGTATATGTGCATATAGCTGCACATTCTGATGCAGCCTTCACCTAAATAATGTATCTATTGATTTTGCATATGCATTTCTGTTGCATTGCCAAGCGGCATTACTTGCAAGATTTACGTACGCACACTGCCGTGCGTATGTGCATACATGTGCTTGTGTGTGTGTGTGTGTTTTTTGACCTCTCGAGTCAACAGCCAACAGCCAGCAACAGCTGTCCTGTCGCTCCAGTTTGGCTTCATACCTCACACCCCTCTCGATACTTTGTTCGCTGTAAGCGTTCTTTTAACAATTGCGTCTTCTTTGTCATTGCATTGGTGTCGCTGTTGCAGCCACGTGTGTCGTTTGGCATTTGCATAGCATCACGTACATATAACCTTTTTCTTTTCAATAATACCCTACACTGGTAGAGTTATGAAACGCGGCATATTGCAATTAAGCAAATTGATAAAGCATAGCGCTAAATATTTTGAGCTCGTATGTTAATTGTTATCATTTCATTATACCCCATTTGAAGTGTCACAAAACAGGGTATGTACGACAGCGAAATATAAATATGAATAAAATATATGTATCTCAAATGTATAAAAGCACATTGAAATATATGATATGATTATTTACAGGGTATGTCAATGTTACATACTTGAAATATTGACTGTTTTGTACTCGTTTTATAGTTCTGTTTTAAATGCGTCTTCTTTGTTTGTCACACAGATGAAACAAGGCTCTGCAACAAGTGGCACCAACAACAACAACGCGTTCGCCAACAACATCATCAACGACAACAACAACGCCGACTGTGAAGACCAATTGCAGCCGCCGCAGCAACTATCAAAATTAACTCATATTGTCAGCGAATGGGATGACGGCATCATATTTGATGTGGATGATCCAGACTTTTGCCCCGGCCCTTCAAACGTCGTCGCTGACAGGCTGACAACAGCCACAAATAGCTGTGTGGCAGCGTTAAGGAATCTAAGCTTGATAGGTAAATAGCAAATGATTATAAACAACTGATTATCAATTTGTAGTTAGTAACAAGACGACATAAAGGGGGAAAGTCACCTTTCTTAAGCTCGATCTGTGCCATTTATCTATCAAAGCCTTTACTTAACGATGGGAGCTCACTGTTTATAACAGCATATTAATAACAATAGCACAACAAAATGTTGCATGTATCTTTAAGATAATTTTAATTCTTGCTGAATATAAAAAGTAAGGAAATTTGTAGAATTTCGACATTTGGCATTGCTATCAATGGCATCTGATCAGAACCTTTTAGAAGAAATTTTGGGACTACTATTTATATTCTTGTCTGACCTCAAAAGCAGAATTGATAAGCATTTGTCAACAGTTACCCTATTTGTTGATTAAAACCAAAACAAAACAAAATTTAGAATTGGTTCTGAGATGTTTCTTGAATTGAATAATTTCATTGAACATTTTGGTGAATGAACGGAAGTCTATAAATAAACCGGTTCAGGGATGTTCAAAAGGCATTTCGACGTTTTTTTTTTTTTTTTTTTGGCACTCGTACTAAAAATAATATGTTTCAATAATATATACTACTGTCGGTAAAAACTTCTAATATGTTAGATAACATTGACTGCAGTATCGTGCAATGTAAAAGCTCTAACTATGTTAGTTAACGCAAGTCTGTTAAGGATCTATTAATGTGCAGAGTAGAGGCAATGTAAATGACAACAGCAGCTGATATCTAACGTGCTGTTAAGTTGAATATGTGCAAACATATCTAACAGTCGCTTAACACAAATGCAGTTCGGAATATACTGTGACAAAGCTCGCTTTGCGTAACCCATAAACCTTACCTTACTCACAAAATATGCAGTTAGCTGTTATTGTTGTTGCTCTACTGTTGGGGTTACCCTGGCATAACGTAACAGAAATAGCTATTAATAGAGAAATAGATGTACTAGATGCATTACAAAGCAAGCTTATATTTGCGCACGTTGTTGGTTGATATTATTTATAGACTCTCAGGTCTAGACGAGATTCGCGAATAAATTAGCGGTACAAATATTTACGATTAATTTGCTGATAGACCTAAAGCTGGAATTTTTTAACATTGTGATGAGCGTGGCAGCTAGTTATGTGTATACTCGTGAACAACTATATAAATATGTCTGGCTTATCAGCTGCGTGTTTTTCCAGCTTTGTTTTAATAACAGGTGCGTGGGTGTGGTTAATACATAAGTAAGATTATACTCTATATATACTGATACTTGTACTTTATCCATATCGCGTCCCTGTGCTCTTTGTGCGAGCGACCCACTTGCAATTATTTTACTCGCATACTTTTTGATTCCATTTTATATGGGTGAGCGGAAACTGGTGCACACTTTTATTAACATCAATTGCCAGCGATAGTGAGCTTTATCGCTCAAGTGGGTGCCACGCTCCAGTATATAATGCCAAATACGCAGGGCTATCAATTTATATTAGAAACATTTCTTTCAGCTTTCGATTCGCTAGTCGAAAGTTCATTTCTAATTGTTTATGTCTGCCACAATAATCGATAACATATTTTATAATCGATCTTCTCTTATACCCACTGAGCTTTCTCTATTTATAGATCGAATTGCTTATGTGTTAGATGCAATAATAGTTTTATCAATGTTTGTCTAGATATCCATCAAATTGTCGTAGCTACATAAGCGAATAATTTGCAAAATTCTCAATCAATCGTCAATTTCATGTAATTCAAGCGAGAAACTAAATATCTGACTCAAATCGTAGGAAAGTTCCGCTATGCATATAGAAGTAACACGCAGAAATTTGATTAGAACTAAAATTTTCTATAAACAGTTGTTCATAACTTATTCATCGATAAAATATGAGCTTGAAAATTGTATACAAAATGGCTCTCAGATTAGTAATGCGATTATAGTAAAAACTTTATATTAGGTTTCAGCAAAATTGATTTATTGCCTGGCGTTAGCAGGAAACATCAGTCAGAGCCTTATCGAAGCTGATTAAAATAAAAAGTAGTTTAAACTAATATTTTCTATTGTGTGCATTTATGAATGTGTTACACATGAAAGGGGTAAAAAACCCACCCACACACTCACTACTTCAAGTCATCCATCAATTAAGTATGTGCACCTCTTCGATCATAACATATATAAAAAAATAAAGGTAAGAATTCGTGTGCTAATTGTTGTGTCTCTGGCTTTGGGGTTTATCAGCGATCTGATTAACCATATAAACAAAGCGTGCGGCTCGCTTATTCACACGTTTCTGTTGTCGCTGAAAATTTATGAAATTCACGCGTTTATCATGTGACTTTATGTTATTCGTAACTCTCATCGCGTTTGCTCTTCTATTTGCCTAGGGGACTACGGAATCGTGCAAACATTAATCACTTGCGCTGCAGAATTATGTGTGTTCATTTAACTCACTTTTGTTTTGTTATTTTGTTGAGCAAATTATGTTTGCGTGTGGCGCTACAAAGTCCAGTATTTTCTTTATGATAGTAGAGCGCGACACGTGCGGATCGTTTAGGAAATTTACAAAGTCGTCAATTAGGCTAAACCCATGAAATTGTTGCGTGTCGGTGGGTTTAGCTCCAAGAATTCGAAGCGTGAATAAAATTTTGTTGGAAAATTAAGCAAATTTAAGCTAATTTATTTCCCAAACACATTAGTTAAATTTAACGTATAAAACAATCAATAGCTCTAAAATTTGACAGTTATAGCGACTTTTTGACGTCATATACAGCTTGTTGGCAATAATAAATTTCTATAATAGCTTTATAAATATATATAGCCAGCTTTGGCTCTATATATATTTTATTATATAGTAGTTTATTTATAAGTTTTTATTTATAGGGCGTTTCTGAGTCGACTGCTCTTTTCACCTTTGCTTAGCTTATTCTTTCGCAACGCTTGTTTGCTAAAGAAAAATTGGAAAAGTCAATTACCGAAGTCATCTGCGCATATCTAAAAATAATTTTACAGCAAAAAAAAAAATGTAGCTTAAGTAACTCTATGAGCAATATCAAAAGTAAAATCTGAGTCAAAAAGTAAATAGCCGACAATTGCTGAAATTTACTCTATACATATTTATATTTATATTGAATTTAGCTTTTTTTTTTATCAGCTGGAGGCGATTTTGTGTAGCTTCAGAAACAGAAGTTTTTTCTTTCTTTGCTTTTATGATTTACTTGCGTTTGGGATCGAATTTCATATGAATGGAAAATCAACATGAGTAGCTATATAATAATATAATAAAGCTATAGCTATAAAGCATGTGTACATCTAGTAAATATTATATATCACAAAATGCGTGTGCTTAAAGGTCTGGTCCGGCTTTGATTTATAGACATGGTGAGCTTATGTCAGCAGTTCCTTATAACCCAAAAACCTTGCATTCTATTATCTAACACTTCCCGGTATTTCAGTATACAAGTTTTTCTATTATTTGGAATATTTTATAATTTAAAAAAAAAAAAAAAGTTTCTCGAGTGCTTCTGTGATTTACGCTTCCCTGGTATTTCGCAATATAATTACCTTATCGTTGTAATTAGACAACCTTATCTTTCATAATGATCATGATAATGATTTGCATCTTATCTTCGCACTTCCATTAATGAATCACAGCGCAATCCCAGACAGGTACACACACATACACACACACATACAAACACACATACACGCCCTAATAGTCACTCTTATATCATCAAACTGTCTGGCTGTATGACCGCCTGTTGTTTACTCAAAGATCCACCAGACATTGACCTGCTCCCACATGCCCCACCTCACCTCGCAGGTCCTCGCTCTGAAAGCGCTTTCAGTTTATTGCCGTCTCGATTAGCATTCGCAAAAAAGTGCTCAGAATGCACTTGGAACTAAAGGTTTTGCTCCCATGGGGCCTCAGTCCGGGGCCGTCATGCAAGTTTGCTTACATAAACGTTGCGCTTTTATGCAATTGCTTATTAAAACGACAAACGTAATGACAAATTTTGTTTGCAAAATTGATATGTATATATGGTATGTATGTATGTATGTATGTATGTATGTATGTATGTATGTATGTATGTATGT